CTATTTTGATATATGCGCTGCATTTGGATCTTTGCGCTGCTATTTGGATCGATTCCAACGGCCAGGACGACGACAGTACAAGATACGCCGTAATTTGATTGGCGGCGGGGTATCTGACAGGCAGGCTACACGCGCGGGCCGGGACTACTTTTTATGCTTGCACTCACTGGCAGCGAGCGGGTGGTGTGTGTGCGTGTGTGTGCGCGTGACGACGCCGACGGTAAGTTACCAGGGCTCTCTGCCTGCCATATACAAAGGCCAGAGTAAAGCATTTTAATATTCCGTTTTTTTGTCCCTTTTTGTATTTTGTAGACCAGCTATGTCACCCAAGAATAAGAAAAGGGACATACGAAGCTTTTTCATAAAGCAGAGTGTAAGTAGGCACAAATAACTAGCCACACAAATAGTGACTGACCAGGCTTTCAAATGCAGATTCTACTGTGGAAAATAGTATTAACTGGTGATCCTGGTTACCCAGGATATTGTTACAGTTAAACCTAGCTTCTGCAATCTTTCAAGGTTAGGAGCATTAGGGTGTGCAGCACGGATAGACTCATAGAAGTCGCGCTATCATGATAGAATGCTACGTTAGCAAGTCACTGAATGTTAATAAGCCTACCTTAACTTAGAATCTTGCAGTCATAAACAGTGGATCATCTGAGACATTTTTCGTTTCTACATTCTGTTTATGTAATGTATTTGTGAGTGTAGCCTAAGTTACTTGCTAGACACATGTGCTGGAAAAACATGTTGGCAATGTTAAAAAGGCAAAAGTTAACACTGTTGGTTATTCAAATATAATGAATCATTATTTGATTGATAATATCCAAATAACAATATCTGGTAGGAGGGTTAAACTTGCTAGCCAGGATAGACTACAAAATTAATTAACCATTTTGTATGCAGGGAAGACAGCATCAAACCACAACAGATTTACATTAATTTAGCAGACACTTTTTATCCAAAGCGACTTACAATTGAGAACAATAGAAGCAGTAAACCTAGGATAACAATATGCAAGTTTTATGACCCTTCCCAGTTTAATCTAATGTACTTTTTTTTAAGAATAGAATATATCAATAGAATTTGATATAGAATAGAAGATACAATTTTAGTATTAATAGAATACTGTAATAATGGATAATAATAATAATGGATTTGTTAATCCACAAAACCATGTCACCTTCATATTTAAATTGCTTTGAAATATAAACATGATGTGTTGAATGCTATGACATGTGCGTATCACACATGTGTATCACCCAGGTATTAACGTGAGTGTGAGTATGAGTATTTGTTAGAGGTACTGGAGGGTAAAAAGTGTTTATAATAGAAAAAGGTTATTATATTTATTTATTTAGATTTGTTTTGCTCCACAAGTTCTGAAAGTACTTCCTTGTGACAGTATTTTTTGTTAGTGTAAATACTAATGTACATAATAATTTATGTTAAATAAAATGTTTGGTTGTTCAGCATTACACAGTCTCAGGTTTTTATTGTTTGAGAGTGTATTTTTGAGATTATACAGTTATATTAGCTCTTTATTGACAGTATACAGGATGGTGTCGGGGTCAGGATACAATATAATGAGATGAAGTAGATTCACTTATGTGATATTCTGTATTGCCAGCAGTCTGAAATGACAAAGGACATCGCCATTAAAGCACTGTTACTTATCTTACAACAAAATAATTCCTGGGGGGGGGGGGGGGGGGTTTGTCCCCACCAAAGCTGAGACCAAACCTACGCCCATGCGGAGATACATTATGCAAATTCCGCAGACCCATGGCATTTCTTTGCCATTGGCTCGTTTTTTAATACTCGAAGAGGATTGGCTTTCTGGCGAAACCCCCATTCTCCGTCATCCGACGTAACTCGGAGTGACTACGAAAGGGAACAGAGATTGTTTTGGCTTTATGACAGTTCTAGATTAAAGTTATTTTCCAGTTAAAAGGGTGAGGGGGGCACAAACTAACACATGGCTAGTCACATGATTTAAAATGTTCCACAACATGACGAAGTGTATTTGCCACATCAACACTATACATAGAAAAAATTGCGGCAAAATTACAAGATCCTTAGAAGATATCACTGAACATTTATTTAACCATAAAGCAAAAGTAAATTTCTTACTTATGGTAATTTTTCATCTCTGTTTTTTTTTTTTTTTAATTAGACAAATCTGATATTATTTTAATCTTAAATCTGTTATTTAACAGTTGATATTGTTCTTTAATGCTTCGCTAACTAGCAGACAACACTAGCCAGGTTTAAATCCCAGTTGCACAGGTGGGGAATGTTGTAACACTGCGTTACAATGTGCCCATATTATAACTATGGTATTCTATTATGAATTCTATTGAGAAACCATGAGAAAAAGGTGAATAAAGACTGAGTGTCAGAAATTATTCAGATGTTCAGAAATTATGAATTAGTATTATGTTTTGAACTATGCTGTATAGCTGTGTTTTGTGGTCTGTTTGTTGTCAAACTCAAAAATTACATTTATTTTAAATTATTAAAAATATATATTTAATAAAAAAATATTGACAAAATATTTTAGTTTGTCTTGTATATATGTTATGTGGACATGTTACAATGTATGGAGCATGTTGTCACATTTTACTTCCATTCTTTCGGGGGGAAAACAAGAAAAAAGCACACACTGCTGAATGAACAAAAACACATAATTGTACTAGACTTGTGAAATGAATGTGGTAAAAAAGAAACTCACTGAACCCCAAGTGGATTTACACAAACTGAAAAAATCAAAGTGTTAGGTTGTGCCCCGCTCTCCCACATCCCATTAAGTCCCGTATTAGTCTAGGCTATAGGTGGCCGCGACAAAAATAAAGGTTTTAAAGGTCGTTGGTCTGAGCCCTGCCACAGCACCACAAACAAAAAAACTATCTATTAAAAAAATTAAAAAACAAAACAAATAATAAAATAAATCCTTACAAGGAAGTAATGGCTTCAGGAAGAGGAAATGCCAAAATAAACAAAAAGGTAAAACACCTGGGGGAGTAAACCTGAATGAATTCAATGTCTGGATGCCAATTCAGTGAAAATGATTCTTCATTCTTCTCCCAAACATTCCTTAACAGTTTGAGCCCGATGAATCGTGACATTGTCCTTCTGGAATATGGCCATGATGTGTCTTCCATGGATGTTTAAGAAATGAAAAGCTACACACTGCATAATTTAGGGTCAAAAGAACTGATACATATAACATAAACATATAACATGCTAGAAACATAATAATCACAGCAATAATGACCCAGTCATTAAGCATTTGCCTAAATCCAAACTTTTCTTCTGCGACTTTTCTTCTTCTTTTTTTTTTAGCCGGGCAGTGTATTATAACTCAGAAACAAAGAAAAGAAAAGAAATGTCCCCTTTTCAGGATACTGTATTATAAAGATTATTTTGTAAAATCCAAATAAGATTTACAGATCTTTATTAGGAAGCATTTAAACAATGTGTTTCATGCTTTTCGATGAACCATAAATGATTATTGCACCTAACGCAACTGAATATTTCTTCAAGTGCCTCCATACTTGAAAAACTGCAGAAAAGTACTTTTTAAACAGGAAATAAAGGGAATATTTACGTACATATATACAGTGGGTCTATTCGCACGGGATTAGTATTACCTGAGGTCATTTTTCCGGACCTTATTTCAGAAGGTAAGTCAATCTTTACTGACATTGTCCGTGATGATTACTGAGATGGCACATTCGGACGGGACTAAAATCACTGAGAAGCTCTGGTAATAATAACTTGACTCCACCTCTCCATGTTAAACGAATCCAGTCCGAATAGGGCTAGTTACAATAACACTAAAGAGACATTTCTACTGACTCTGGAAAAACTCCAGGATAAGATGTCCAGCGTCTCTGATCCCCTGATTGATCATGCCATTGACCTGTTTCAGGAGGCTTGAGGACTGCACATGTGAACAGAGCAATAAACTGCAATGCCTGTAATGTAAAAGGCATAAGGCAATGTTACATGGAGACAGTCAGGACAGCAGATCGTCCTTGATATGCCAAACCACATGTGACCATATGTACCCCCAGATGTGTTCGAGAACTTGCAAGTGCCTTGGTGGAAAGGTGGAGTAATCAAACTTAATACTATACACTAAATAGAGCGACTTAGACAATTTCATAAGGTTTTGCTCTACTAAGTTGAAGAAGCTTGTAGAGAAAGAAAGTGATTGAGCAGGACCTAAAAACTCTTAGTTATGACAGTCATGCGAGTCTACAAATTTTGTGCATGCATGTGGTTTCTACTTTCATACCTCCGAGTGTCTTATAAGGAGGGAATGTTTGACAGCTGTGCTTCAGTTTACTCAGTCACTTTGCTTTGGATTTGGTGACTGGTCTTCAGGAGTAATGGAGTAAGTCCCTACAGGCCTCTCCTCATTTTACTTCTCTCCAGGTAAGCTTTATAAAAAGTCTTGCAACTTTTTTCCAAATTGGCAGTAATATAAGAACTGGAAGAACTGACATTTGCTAAATAAATAAATCAATAATGGTCTGCGTCAATCAATGTCATACCTGCGTACCATGTTTTCCTCATGTTAAAGAGGCGTTTATCAGAGGTCAACTCACTTTCTGTAAAAAGTGTCATGATAGCATTTGCTTGAGAATCTTTATGCTATAAAGCAAAAGAGAGAAACTCCTAAACCCTAACAGCAAGTACGATTTACTTTAAAGCGGTCATATGATGTTGATTTAAACGTGTTTACAATTTATGGTTACAAACTAAGACAAACAGTATTTTTTCAACATTAGTGGAACATTTTCATTGATGTCATAAACGATGAAGTTAATGGGGAGGAAAAAAATATTGGTTTGATATTTTCTTACCTAATTGGAATTGCAATGGAAATAATGCAATTTTTAAATGTCAGTTAAGTGTCCAAATACTTTTTTGGGGGTTCACTGTATATATTACATCTCAGCTTTCTATTTTTTAGCAAGAACTCCCTCAGGATGGGTGAGTGGGGTACATTGGTAAAACTTCTTGAGAGTGTGCATGACCACTCCACAGCTGTAGGGAAGGCCTGGCTCTCTGTGCTCGTCATCTTCCGGATCATACTTCTGGGGACAGCAGTGGAGTCTGCTTGGAATGATGAGCAGACGGCTTTTAAGTGCAATACCCAGCAGCCTGGTTGTGAAAATGTCTGCTATGACAAATCCTTCCCCATCTCACATGTGCGATTATGGGTGCTTCAGATTATCTGTGTGTCCACTCCTACGATTCTGTACCTGGCCCATGTGATCTACACGATCCGTCGAGAGGAGAAGACCAGAGAGGCTGATGGTGGCAACACAAATCAAGGCTCAGAGACCCGCAAGAAGAAGAAGATGAAGAAGGGTGCCATCCTGTACACCTACATCATTAGCATATTGAGCAAGTCTATCTTTGAGGTGGTCTTCCTGGTCCTCCAGTGGTACATTTATGGCTTCAGCCTGTCTGCTGTGTACACCTGCGAGCGTTGGCCTTGCCCCCATCGGGTGGACTGTTTCCTCTCTCGACCCACGGAGAAGACTGTCTTTATTCTCATCATGCTGGTGGTTTCTCTGGTCTCACTTGTGCTTAACGTCATAGAGCTCTTCTGTGAGCTATACAAACAGAAGTCCCACACTGAGCATCAGTCTTCAGAAGAACACCAGGCCTATGAGCAGTCTTCAGCACTGGAAGAACACCAGGCCGATGAGCAGTCGAGGCACATGAGCAATCGACAGGGTTGGGAACTAACAAAATACATGTAACTACAATTATAAATTTAAAGTACAAAATACATTTCTGAAAAAAGAGCTCATCACAGCACCAACTTTAGCACTCTTCGATCCAAGCTAGGAAATCAGAGTCGCAGCAGATGCATCGTCCTTTGGTCTGGACACAAAACATCTGGATGACTTACCACCAAAGCTACAACGCTTGAGAATGAGACTTATGAGATATTCCTACGAGATTAGCCATGTTCCAGGGTAACAGTTCACAACTCAAGACACACTATCAAGGATGCCCTACATGAGCGATCTAACGGTCGCTGACTCAACTGAAGACATGGAAGAGTCAAATATTTATCTCGCTCAAATGGAGAAAAGCTTCCCCGCTTCAAAGAGCTGCCTGGAAACTTTCTACAGGAGTTAAAGAAAGACCCTGTATGCCGCCAGTTTCATGAGCATGGATGGCGAGAACGGTGTAGGCCAACAACAGATTCAGACCTTTCTGCTTGGAGAGAGACATGATTTCCATCCTCGACGGACTATAAAACATGTTGTAAAGCTTCTTTTTTTTTCATTTTTGAATTTATAACAAGCACAAGATTTGATGTTTACGGCTGTTGAGAATGGAGACAAAGATCATTGAATAGAGGCTTGAATTTGTGTCTTCACAATTGTAATGATTCTAAAGATTTGGATTATGGCTCCCCAATTAAATTTATTAAGAATGAAGAATCCACTTCGATCTCTAACATGTCTTCACCAGCTGCTTCCACCACGTCTGATTTTTTGGACGTAAGACCCAAACACATCAAACCCAACATAAAAAGAAGAAAACAAGGAGAGGCAGAAAACGGTCAAGGACAAAGACAACAACCGAGACAACAACCATGGATTCTCAGGGACCGGAACAAGAACAGACGGTAATTAACCTATCAAAAACATCTCTTACTCCTGACCAAGTGAGTGTGTTGTCTAAAGGACTTTCCTTTTCTCCCACTTACCATACCAATGCGTTTAACACCAAGGTGGATCTATTTAGATTCTACCGAGGCCTTCACCTTAAAGTTTGGTATCATCAATATAATCAGAGAAATGACTGCACAGAACAAAGATCTTCTTTAGACCAAAATCATATTTCATGCCTCCAGTCTCGAATGTGACTTTGACTGCTTTTACAAAGAAGGTGGATTATGATATTGAAAGACTATTCTTAGCATCAAATAAAAGAAGTAGGGAAAACTTGACCAAATCCCAGAAATCTGCAATAGATCATTTAACAAAGAATGAGTCGTTAATCATAAAACCTGCTGATAAAGGAGGAGCAGTGGTAATAATGGACAGAGACAAATATGTTGAAGAAGCCTTGCGACAACTTAATAATCAAGATTACTATCAACGGTTGCGGTCCAATCCAATAGACGACACAAGAGATCAATTAAAAGTTTTGTTGCTCACGGCTAAGGATGCTGGATGGATTTCTAAACACGAGCATGATTTCCTCCTATGTCAACATCCTAGAATACCTACTTTCTACATGCTCCCAAAGATCCATAAGTCTCTTGAATCTCCTCCAGGCAGGCCTATCATATCATCCAATGGGTCCCTTATAGAACCAGCTTCACAATTTATAGACTTTCATATTAAGCCATTGGTTCAACAACTTCCTTCCTATATACAGGATACCACTCATGTGTTGAAGGTATTACATGATATGAAAGTTCCTGATGACTGTTTCCTAGTCACATTGGATGTGGAATCTCTTTATACAAATATTGCTCACAATGATGGACTAAAAGCTTTACAACATTTCCTGACCAATGGACCTACAGACTCTTTGCCTCCCTCCGAGTTCATCGTTCAGCTTACCGAATGGAGACTTAAGAACAATGTTTTCCTTTTCCAGGACCAAATGTAAATTCAAGTTCGGGGCACTGCGATGGGTGCATGTTTTGCCCCCAACTATGCTAACCTTTTTTTAGGTTTGTGGGAGAGTGATCTCGTCTATCCACACAGGTATATTGACAAGATTAAATGGTGGGGGAGGTATATTGATGATATTCTTCTGATTTGGGGAGGTTCTTTTGATGAATTGCTACAATTTTATGAGTACTTGAACAATAATGATAGGAATATAAAATTGTGTATGGAACATTCCAAAACGACTATTAACTTCTTAGATCTAACCATTTCTATTGGTAAAGATGGGAAACTCCACACTACTGTATATCGCAAAACAACTGATAGGAACACCATGTTAAAAGCAGATAGTTTCCATCCAAATTGGCTAAAGAATAACATACCTTTTGGCCAGTTTCAACGTCTTAGACGGATTTGTGATACAGATAACGAATATGAAGTGCAAGCTAAAATTCTGTCCAACCGATTTTTAGAAAGGGTCTATCATACAGAAATTATACAAAATGCTTATAAGAAAGCCCAGGCCATCTCTAGACCAGTTAATCCAGAAGAAGAAAAAACCGTCCGCTTTACAAAATCAGGCCTATTTTGTGACAGAATATAGCTCCTTGGCCAATTCCATAAAAAGAATTATACATTCTAATTGGAATCTTATTAAGAGTGATCCTGTTCTTAGAGAAGTATTTTCTGCATCTCCAAAAATAAGTTTCAAGAGGGCTCCAACTCTACGAGACAGGCTAGTATCTAGCCATCTTCCTGCCGAAAAACAGACCACTTGGCTTAACACACATTTAAAAGGAGTTTACAAATGTGGGTCTTGTAATCATTGCTCTAATATTAAAGTATGTAAAGAATTCTTTAATTTTAAGACAGATAAAAAGTATGACATAAAGACATTCATTAATTGCAATACCACTTTCGTGATATATAGGTTATCATGCATATGTGGATGCTTTTATGTAGGCCGGACCAAGAGACGTCTTAAAAACAGAGTAGCTGAGCATAAGAATGCCATTAGAAAAGCCAATTTAGATTATCCTATGGCAAAACACTTCCAAAACGTGCACAATAACAACCCAGAAGGTCTAATGGTTGAGGGTTTAGAAACAATCAAAAAGAGTATTCGGGGTGGTGACCGATTAAAATTACTTCTACAGAGAGAAACATTTTATATATATGAATTACAGGCCACAGTATATCCTGGTTTAAATGAAGAAATAGATTTCAGCCCTTTTCTGTGATGTTTTTTTTTTGTTTTTTTTACTATCTCCTAGTGGACCTTCTCTGTATGTGCAGGCTATTTGCCAATCAGGTGTTCCCAATTAGCATCTATAAATGAGGAAATTGTTTGTTTGGAAAATATACCCTGAAGAAGGCTGGTTGTGCCGCTACGCGTGGGTTGTATTTTCCCCCCACATGTTTTAATAATTTTTTCAATCATGATAGAGCCAGTTTAATAAAGGCTTTTTAATTTTCTAAAGAAGAGTGCCTTGGATTCCCTTTTCTACATGACATTGAACTCTCGACCCCAAAGAGCACCTTCTAATACTTTTTTTGAACTCCTTGAGCACCCTGGACTTTTTGTCTTTTTCTTATTACTTTTGTGATTTTATGTTGTGTTTTTAGCATATTCACTCAGTAATTGACTAGTTGATACTGTACATCCCTTTACTATCCCTGCTTAGACATATAATAATAATGTGTTATGGTTGATAAAGTTGACACAGCTGTCACCGCAATCACCGTCGACACTGCATTTAACTCTCGTGCTTGAATGCTTATTGTGTTGTCTGCCCTATTCAGTGCAGCCTTCAGTTTCATTGCTTTGAGATATGCAAATTTTGATGAGGTCGGAACAGGCGTTTCATTGGTCTAGTTCAACCTATCAGATGAGAGTACTCTTAACAACGCGGCTATTGGCTAGAACTGTCTTGCTACGTGTGAAGGTGTGGTTTTTACCCCATTCAGTGCTCATCTCACTCAAGGGGGTAATCCATCGACCGGAAGTTGAAGTCGGCCGGGTGCCGCCATCTTGTAGCAGAACTTCACTTGCGTTAGCATTTCCATTGACTCCCATTCATTTTGGCGTCACTTTGACAGCGAATAACTTTACATCTGAGGCGTTTAAAGACTCCATTTGTCCATTATTTATTTCTAAAGAAACACGACAATGTATAAAAGGCTCCATTACCTTCTATGTTACGTTATGGCCCCGTAGAAACAGATTTAGTAAAAATAGGCTAACGATTGCGTCATAACCACTCGACTCTCTGTCGCGCTGTACAGAAATTACCGTTTAGACAGAAGTAGAAACTCGCGCGCAATCGGGGGGACGTCGAGGCATAAAGTCAAGGGAGAAGCCCATAGAGAGTTGTAAAGCTGCTCCTGCTGCGAGCTCATGGACAGCTAATACTCACGATCTCCGGCTCTGCAAGTTTCGGAAGGGAATGATTCAGATTCCTCTTGGCACAGCTACTAGAAGATTAACGTCTGTCAGACAGGTTGCTCACGTCATCAAGCTTAGTTTGAGTCGGTTTGAGTCTGCGCGTCAGGAACGGAAGTGCTCAAAAATCGCTAAAAATGGGATTCAACTGTCTCAACTGAGTTCCAATGAGATGGCTCTGTCCATTTCTTTTACTGTCTATGATCTCACTGCTGGATTTAATACAGTTCCCATATACGTCACACTGACGTAATGTTGAAGTTACCGCCTCGAAAGGGAACGTCTCCGGTTACTATCGTATCCTCGGTTCCCTGGGAGGCGGGAACGAAACCTTACGTTTGCTACCGTGCTCGCTGTTTGGTCAGCTGTGCTGGCGTTCAGACTCATGATTCTGACGTAATTGTCGCGCCCATGCATTTTATACTGCCCACGAACCTGTCAGTATTTGCGTACTTCGCGTCAATAGAGTGCCAAAGTTATGACGTAACTTTGTAGGACAACTCGGAAGTTAGCGGCGCATGGGTAGCCTCGTGAGACCATCCTGATCTCGCGAGCTTTTAAGGTTTCACTCGCAGATCAGTCTGGATACTTTCCGTTAAAGAAAATTTGGGAGCAGTTCACCAAACGAACGTCCAATCAGCGTTGGCTTTGAGGCGGGTTGAGGTGTGACGCAACGAGAAGCGCGTCAGTTCAGTCTAAAGAACATGTCGGCTTCAGCGGATGAAACTAGCATCAGCGTGGCTATCGAGCAAGTTTTATCGGAATTACAGAGTATTTCTTCACTGACAGAAGAGCAAAACACTGCTCTGGAGGCTTTTCTCAGAGGAAAAGATACGCTCTGTTAGTACGTCATATGCTTCGTTGATCTGATTGGTTGATTTGGCCCGTCTATCACCAACATAGGCCAATCAGCTAACCAGTATTTTCGCCCCTTACCAAAACTACTTCAACGGAAGGTTTCCAGATGGATATGCGGAGCAAATCCATCTGGCGGAGTCAGGTTAGCGCATGGGTTCCCTCGATCGAAAAGCTATGCATTTTCCCCAAAGACTTGGGGAAAATCGCAAAAAATAAGATCTGTGTTCAACAAAGAGTTGTGACCCTTACACGTTTTGTCTATCAAGATAATCTTTACAAGTTAATCCAAAATGTATACATTTTGAAGCCTATATAAAGTTAAAAAAACACAAGCAGACACAAAGTAAAAAAAAAACACAAGCAGGTTATAACTGGTGTGTTTTATTTCATAGATCAAAACATGAAAATATTTGGAGGCTTTGTTAACCACAGACCTTATTTCAGGCAATTTAGCACAAACCCATTAAAAAAAAACCATAGAGTTTAGGGCGAGGGAACCGGAAGTGCTAAAATGCTAACTCACTTCCGCGTTTTGGCCTACAAAGTGACTTCATAACTTCGGCACTCTATTGGCCAGCTGTCCCCACATGGCGTTAGCACATTAGATTTCAGTGAAAGTGGAGAAGGGAGGAGTTCCCATATACAGTGAGGAAAATAAGTATTTGAACACCCTGCTATTGTGCAAGTTCTCCCACTTAGAAATCATGGAGGGCTCTGAAATTGTCATCGTAGGTGCATGTCCACTGTGAGAGACATAATCTAAAAAATAAAAATTCCAGAAATTACAATGTATGATTTTTTAACTATTTATTTGTATGATACAGCTGCAAATAAGTATTTGAACACCTGAGAAAATCAATGTTAATATTTGGTACGGTAGCCTTTGTTTGCAATTACAGAGGTCAAACGTTTCCTGTAGTTTTTAATCAGGTTTGCACACACTGTAGGAGGGATTTTGGCCCACTCCTCCACACAGATCTTCTCTAGATCAGTCAGGTTTCTGGGCTGTCGCTGAGAAACACGAGTTTGAGCTCCCTCCAATGATTCTCTATTGGGTTTAGGTCTGGAGACTGGCTAGGCCACGCCCGAACCTTGATATGCTTCTTACAGAGCCACTCCTTGGTTATCCTGGCTGTGTGCTTTGGGTCATTGTCATGTTGGAAGACCCAGCCTCGACCCATCTTCAATGCTCTAACTGAGGGAAGGAGGTTGTTCCCCAAAATCTCACAATACATGGCCCCGGTCATCCTCTCCTTAATACAGTGCAGTCGCCCTGTCCCATGTGCAGAAAAACACCCCCAAAGCATGATGCTACCACCCCCATGCTTCACAGTAGGGATGGTGTTCTTGGGATGGTACTCATCATTCTTCTTCCTCCAAACACGGCGAGTGGAATTATGACCAAAAAGTTCTATTATGGTCTCATCTGACCACATGAGTTTCTCCCATGACTCCTCTGGATCATCCAAATGGTCATTGGCAAACTTAAGACGGGCCTTGACATGTGCTGGTTTAAGCAGGGTAACCTTCCGTGCCATGCATGATTTCAAACCATGACGTCTTAGTGTATTACCAACAGTAACCTTGGAAACGGTGGTCCCAGCTCTTTTCAGGTCATTGACCCACGCCTCCCGTGTACACCTCCCTTCTCACCTTTCTTAGGATCACTGAGACCCCACGAGGTGAGATCTTGCATGGAGCCCCAGTCCGAGGGAGATTGACAGTCATGTTTAGCTTCTTCCATTTTCTAATGATTGCTCCAACAGTGGACCTTTTTTCCCCAAGCTGCTTGGCAATTTCCCCGTAGCCCTTTCCAGCCTTGTGGAGGTGTACAATTTTGTCTCTAGTGTCTTTTGACAGCTCTTTGGTCTTGGCCATGTTAGTAGTTGGATTCTTACTGAATGTATGGGGTGGACAGGTGTCTTTATGCAGCTAACGCCCTCAAACAGGTGCATCTAATTTAGGATAATAAATGGAGTGGAGGTGGACATTTTAAAAGCAGACTAACAGGTCTTTGAGGGTCAGAATTCTAGCTGATAGACAGGTGTTCAAATACTTATTTACAGCTGTATAATACAAATAAATAGTTAAATCATACATTTGTGATTTTTTTTTTTTTTTTTTTAGATTATGTCTCTCACAGTGGACATGCACCTACGATGACAATTTCAGACCCCTCCATGATTTCTAAGTGGGAGAACTTGCAAAATAGCAGGGTGTTCAAATACTTATTTTCCTCACTTTACTTCACACTGAAGTAATGTCTCGTTCCCGCCTCTCAGGGAAACAAGGTTACGACAGTAACCAGAGACGTTTTGGATTGTGCCTTTAAGCAAAGGAGATTTTTACCCCATAATAATAAAGCTTAAAAGAGTTTTCCAGACAAGGTTTTTGACTTTTATGTTTTTTTTGCCTTGTTTTCTAAATAAGTCTAAACTCTTTGAGGACTGTTATTTTTCAGTTCTGTTAATTTCTTGCCAAAGGAATAAATACATGAAACAAGGAAATTTAAAGTGAAGGCACAGATAAAGCCAAAGGGCATGGCATTCTTCATAAGATCACCTTTCCCTTTAGGCCAAATGGAAAGGATCCAAACTTACTTTGAAGGAAGTTTTCTTCATTACTATAGGGGTGAAGAGTCGTTCAAAAACATTTCTGAGTTAACTGGGAATCTATTGAATGTGAAGAATACGACTGAAACAGTTCTTCTGGTCTTTGTTTGAGAGTATAAACATTTTCAGCAGTCATGGTGTAGACTCACATTGCAGGAAACTCAAGAGTTATTTGCATATTACACCTTACATTTTAGAGCCTAAATGAAAAGTCATGTCATACTCTATCTCTATTTCAAAACCATAAAAAAAAAGTCAGTTACGACTTTTAATTCAAGAATATTACAATTTGATTCCTAAAGATATGTCTACGCTTTGATGTCTACGTTACCAGAGGATTTAGAAATGTTCTGTTTTAAAAGAACATCATTGTGTGACTTCTCAATATTACAGGGATTAATTAAAATATTATTTATTGACAGACTGATGGACTCTTAACATGTATTGTTTTCCAATCATTGGGCCCTGTTTACACCTGATATTAATATCTATGTCAGGTGATAAGTGGTCGGCTGAGACACTGTTCACACCTGTATGAATTTGTCTCTTATCACTTGTGATCGGATTTTATTAAGGGTTTATGATGGTGTGATTACGTAAATACATAAAAAAAAAGTGCAAATACGTTTACAGAAATATACATTTTACAGACATTATTAAAGGTACGTCTGCATCCGATATCGCATACTTCCCTACTATATAGTAGGCGAAAAACGGTATGTGACAAAATAAATATGTCTGAATTCACAGATAGAAATGATGCAAAATAGGAACACAAAATATTGCAACTGTGCAAATGTATACAAACTTACTGCAACGCTTTATTCCTTCATCCAGCACCTGTTTAAGTTGTCAGATATACATCCATTCTTCTTTTCATACTATACAATTATTATCCCTTATAAGGAAACATTGTATTTAAATGTTGTGACTCTTGTAAACTGTTTTTGGGTGTCTTATAAATGTTATTTCACTGAATTATATTAAGATCTATTACAGAGCATAAATATATAGTTATATAAAGTAATAATGCACTATACAATAAAAATAGCTTTTCCTTCTAAGGTGAATATAATTATTTAGTAATAACTGGTTAGAAAATCAAACAACTACAATTAAATATATTGATGTTAAAACCGTCTAAAATGAATTGTCACCTCTAATGTTACGATAATAGCCCTTTGTGTTTAACTTTGACACACAAAATAACTAAATTAATAAATCGTGACTGTAATGCTGAAATTATAATACTTAAAAGATCAAATGGAGATTGTTTGAACTCCATTCACTTTCAAACTCATTAACCAAACAAATGTTTAAAGATCTGTGACTGATAATCACTAAAGGTATCATATTTGTAAAAAAAAAAAAAAAAAAAAAAACTAGAATTGGAGGAATGTTGCTTAACCATGAACGAACTGCATTATTGCACATGTTCATAGTTTGCCCAAGGGAATGCTGGGACGTTAACATATCTCTGTAACATTAACACATGAACTACATTTTGCATGTAGGTCGTGTTGTCTGGCTCCTCCATATCAGGATTTAAAGTCAACATGAAACAAATCAAATCTGATTTCAGTCATTTGACATTTACAAGAAAAGCAGGATATTCAACTAGAAACAAAAAAACAAAAAAACATCAGATAGCTTTTGGAAAGGTTTTTGGAGCATTTAATAATGTGGATAACTAACACAAGGACTAGAAGGAATGTGTATTAAATGCTCCAAAAACCTTTCCAAAAGCTATCTGATGTTTTTGGAAAGGTTTTTGGAGCATTTAATAATGTGGATAACTAACACAAGGACTAGAAGGAATGTGTATTAAAAAAGTAAATAAGATCAATTTTGAATTCATGTTGACTTTAAAAATGGTCATCAAAAGACCAAAACTCCCCTAACCATGTGAAAACGCCACCAAAACCCAGAACTGCCTCTAACTTTCAATCCTCAGACCTACTGAGTCACCCAGCCCTCATCAAAGCTCATTATAAAAATAAAACCTCCACTCCTGGTTCCTTGTGAACGCTATTTCTTCTTGTGTTTCTCTGTCCTGACTGGTGGAGGCGTCAGTCCGTGACTTCGCTGTAGTAGTATTTCTGCGCTGTGTCGCTGAGAGTCCAGCCTCCCGCGCGAAACTCCAGGATCTCCAGCAGGAGCAGACGACCCATGGAGCTCAGGTCCTCCTGCAGGAGAAACCCGTCCCTCAGCAGATTGAACAGCTCGTCCATCAGCGGCGCGTTCATCTTCTCCAGCTGATCTCCAACACGATGCAGCTGCAACACCAGACAGTCCAGCTGAGAGAGAGAGAGCTTTAAGTAAGAGCAAACATTGCTAAAACCAACAGATGAATGATGGAGAGGTGATAAATATTTCTGGTATCTGAACAATTAAATAATAGGGGTGTAACGATACCCTCATGTCACGATTCGATACATATCACGATACTGAACTCAAGATACGATATTATTGCGATACTCCAAGATATATGGGGAAAGTTAACCAAAAATGTATTGTTGATTAAAATGGAAAATTTGGTATTACATAGAGGGTGGAAATGAATAGGCTTGGACTTGGTGCTGGTAACCCAATGCACAGGACAATAGTGACACCAGAATCAAAATATTCATGATTCTGAAGCTGAAAATTCTGAATTATTTTAGACGAATATGCTTTCACTCGGTCACTCACTAGAGAAATTTAAAATAAGAACTTCTTAGACAGAAATAAAGTTGCACTGGTTAGTAATGTAGGACACTTTTTACTGGTAACATACGACATTTGGCATTATCAGGACCCACAAATATTCCCCCACTGCATTATTATACATTATATTCAACATTATATAAAGTAGTTTAATTTAGTACCAACACCAAAACTCTGTAAAATAAACATTTCTCACACAGTAATTGGGTGAACTATACACGATACATATTGTTGCATTTTTGCATTACGATATATTGTGACACGATGTATTGTTAAACCCCTATTAAATCATATGGATATTAAAAGAAAAACATCAGTGTGTCCTGGCCAGTGAATAGAAACTAAGATCCACAAGAGCTGAAGTGTATGAGAAAACTAATCAAGTAATACTTGTTGAAAGAACAATTTATCAGTCAAGCACAGCGGTCGAAACTTTAGGAAACAATTTACTGAGAGTCTGGCAGAATGTATGTGCCTTAAAAAACTTAAATTCACAAAAATTCACAAAAAATTCTTACGCAAAATAAATTGTGCCTATGCAGGAATTTTTGTACAAAACTAATAGTGAATTTTATTTAATTTGTGAATGGTGAAAACCAAAAAAAAAAAAAAAAAAAGTGTTTTGATAATTGAATTTAGGTAGTTTAGGTACCTAAAATTACTTGGGTTACTTTGGATAAAAGCTTCGGCTAAATGATTAAATGTAAATGATAAATTAAACTAGGCATAGCAAAGTTTTTCAGCAACTAGCCACCTCTTGATAGTCAAACCAAAAACTATTCAGACACCAGATATAATTTTTGATATTTTTTTACTAGTGGGTGCAGGACACTATAGTTCATTTATGCAAGTGAAGATTGCAAAATAAAGTAAACTGTGATATATTATACCCAAAAATTCTTCATACGGTGGACTACCAGTAAAATGTATAAAATTTTGGGACTAAATATTATTCAGACACTTTGACCTGACCATGTTTTGCTTAAGTGTTTTTTTTCTTTAATTGCTAATGTGAACTTTCTACACCAGACTGAACAAAATGAAGCATTGCTTGGTCATTGGTTGACCTAAATGGGTATTATCTAATTGTGTCCTTAAATTTAACAGCTGACAGATATTCAACCTAATTCATTTGCGAGATAGTGTAACAGAAGGATGGCCAAAACCAGTGAAATATCAACTAATTTGATAACTCTGACTTCTTGTCATATTTTATTACCATTTTCTAAACTATAGTGAATAAACTGTGATAATGTGAGAAATGTTGAAGGTGTCTGAATACATTTTGGTTTGACTATTTCAGCTGAACAAATTTTACAAACGGTTGCGTTGGCATAATTTGTGTAAAGTGTGTCCACACTGCTGACCTGTTTATCTGCCGCAGCTCATCCACGTTGTGTTCATGAAATAGACACTGACACGGTCAAAGCGTGTCAAGAGCAAATTAAGCGTCACTCTTGATGATTATGACTCTACAAAACTATTTTAAAACTTTTTTTTGCAATTTTCATTCGAATATCTAGGGTTGCCGAATGCCTCACTGTTCACTTATTTAGTTGATCCATTTCAGTCAAACCCCAGTAATAATGTTCAAGATTCACCTCCTCCTCATTCTTCAGGGCGTCAGACTGAGCCAGTCTGAACAAACAGTCATAGACGGGAGGCACCAGGGCCATCATGTGCGTGTTGTTCACCTGCACTTGACAGAATAAAGGAAACACATATTAAGCACTTCATATCAACTTGCATGCATTTCTTTAAATACCAGTTACCTTCCTAATTCTTACTCTGTGAATTTCACCATTAAAACCGAAGACAACTGTTCACCTTGAGGTAGTCGAAGATGTTGCAGATGAAGGACACGAGGCAAACCCACTCCTGAGTGGATCTCGTCCGCGTGTCTTCCCTGGCTTTAAACTCTTGCTGCAAGCGGGTCAGCAGGCTACGTCGAAACACGCTCCCGTTGCTCTGTTTGGCCTCGGCCTGAATCGAGCGAGGCAACTGCTTACAAGTCAGTCCTAACAAACTACAAGCTAAAGGTTTACTTTTACATGCATTGAAGACAATGCAAACTGATAAACATACTGTATTAAAGTTTACATGTGGTGCATTGCATTCGTTTACCTGCACAATAGTGTAACAGATGCGTCCCGCCTCCCTGCTGAAGATCTGGTCCTTCAGAGACTGATCCACTATTACACTGGACACTTTCTCCAAGTCAACTGAACCTGGGTCTGACAAGTAAAAAAAAAAAGAAAGCAAAAAAAAATAAAAAAAAAGATTTGATTTAACAACATTTGAGCCGAACAGTAAACCAGGTCATGCAAAACCACTGCATATCAAACATATTGACCTTTCAAAGCCGTTTTGAGGAGTTTCTGAGTCTCCAAATCAAACGACTGGATCTTGTAATCTTCTTTAGATGAGTTCTCCATTCTGAAAGGATGGAAAGAGAGTCAATCATTCTGATCAGTCAATCGATAACTGACCTTCAGGCACATGAGATCTGGTTTACCGCCATAGCAAATCTCTGAAGAAATGCACATTTAGTCTGAAACCGCAATGAGCGAGAACAAATGAAGTTGAGCAACAATAAACAACAAGAAACAATCCTGTTATAGAAAACTACCAGCAACACTTATAGTCAACCTCTCCTGTCTGCAAAATCTAAAAAAAGCTGCCTAAAATGACCATAGTGTAAAAATAAGGCTCAGAATTTTATATAAAGACCCAAGATCACATTTTTTAAAGCCACAGTGAACAATATACTCGTCTCATAAAATGTCCTGTAGTGCAATATTTAATTCTAGTTATGGGTTTATAGTGGCATAGTTGCCAGATACATGTATTTGCTGGCTTAGAAGTAAGTTTTGTTAAATGTGAAACTAATATGAAGTGATTTTATGAGAAATATGGCAATGCAACTCAGACCGATAGCACATTATTGCCATGTTGTTGTCATTGTGCTGTGGTGAAACAGATCATGTGTGAAATATGTGGCGTCATCAGTCTGACTTTGAAAGGGAATCAGGGCAGCTCGTGTGTTAATGGGATAAAGGGATTAGGACAACCGGGCAAACACCATCGGCTTCACACTTTCAACAGGCACACGACAACTTCATGATAAACTGCTGATCCAAATAACCAGGTTCAAGTCAATTGCAACTGTGACTTTATTTCCACGTGCTATCGAAATCTTTAGTGAAGGAGTATTAGTGAAGAAATAGCCTACTTTATGGTTTTTGTTTAGTTATCTAGATACGACCACATGTACGTCTAAACTACTCAAAAGTCATAAAAACCGCTCAATAAAACAGAAAAACATAGTCTTAAAAAACCAAAACAACAACAGACAGTCGCGAGCATTCATTCAACACCGTTCAAACCAGCGTGACAAGCGGATGTCAAGTTGTAAACAACACTAGTAACACGCATTTTCATACTAACAATGTGGTTTTGGGGAGAGGTATTGCATGTTCATACGCACACAAAAACACTTACTTTAAAAAACTGAGAAGCAAACACGTAAATGTTTTCACATATCTCAGTCCTCGGTTCTCCTACGGCCAGTCTCCGTGACTCCGTCCCGTACACGAATCTACCAACCAGCTGTGTATACTTATAAATATTAATTACTTATCGTGACGTTGCCCTAGTTGACCAAACTGATTGGCTGAAATGGAACTTTAATATTTATTACGAGGTCTGCCCCTTTGAAGGCGTTTGTGAAAACGAAACTATTTCTAATGAAGCATATATTTATTATAGGCTATATTCTGTTATGCAATTTGCATAATGTAAAACAGGATAATTTCCTTAAATGAACCTTAAAAGAGTTAAAGGTTTTCAGAATGGTATTACTTGCTCATTATTATTGTTATATCTTTTTTGTTTGTGTTTTTTAGCTTTCTGGTTGCTATTTTACCTCCACGGACGCACGATAACGTGAAAGAGCGCCACGCACGTTCTCGCACGAAAACTTAGTAAACAGTGACCTCTAGTGACTGACTTCGACACGGCAGCAAATTTATCCATCGGTTCAGTGAGTGGTGACTCGAGAACTGATGCGATCGTGTAAATGTCATAGGCTACATGTCTCTCACCATCACTGTCTTGAAGGTTACGATTTTCTGTATTGTTGTAAAAAAAAAATCTTTATCAAATTATGTGGAAATATCTTAAGTATTCATATATTTGTAACTTAACCCCAATGTATCTCTTTAGAGGTTTTGTCTACTAAGGCCTATTCTCACCCATAGATCAGAGAAATAAAATGACCAGATCAGTCAATCCTCAGATAAAGATGTTTATCTGAATCTGAAAGACTGTGTCAGGTGCAGGATCATTCCAGCTCACATCAGATCAGATACCATATAATAATCATGGCATTATACATTAGACACACACTACAATGTTAGTGTAGCCTAATCTTCTGACATCTCATTTCAGGAAATGACACGAACCAAAACAGCAACCCGTACAAACCAAAAGCAAAGCGAGAATGCAGTGCAGACATCAGTTTTTGTCTTGAATAACTTAAGGTCAGGTGAATTGAAACTACTGAATTAGTTTCTTGTTACAGTGCGCTTTGTGGTAAACTTTAACCAGAGGTGGGTAATCCAGGGGCCAAAGAGTAAAAGTCCTGCCATAAGTTTATTCCAACCATGACCTCAGTCAGCTGATTTCACTAATTAGTTCTCTCTCCTGTCTGAATTAGCAAATCCAGGTGATTGGAACAAAATACTGAGGAGGACTTTTACTTTCTGAACCTGGACTTTACACCTCTGGCCACATGTCAGCCAAGAGTAAAGAAATGAACCAGAACTGGATCTTATCGTAGCCAAAATAATCTGTGTATATTAAATATAGAGTAATTGCAGCCTTAATAAAGCCTGTTAACAAGCAGAATCACTGAAGGAAAGAAGAGAACAGAAAAAGAGACGAGCAGAAACACAAGAACTACAACTGACTTCAGACACAGTCTTATATGAAATCCACTGAAGAGAAAAGAAGACATTAAATCTGTGAAGATCTCAGCAGAGGAGGATTAAACAACTCCACAAACAGCATTACCAGCTTCACTTATTACTAACCAGACTGGCAGACTCACTTTATTTCTGTCAGAGGTCTGCAGAAGTTTTATTGAGAATTAACAGAGGTTTAACTCCGTTTCATTTGAAGTCACCATAACAGTGATTAGTGTTTCCATTAGTTGGGCTCTTAACTCTTATTTCATCTAATGTCTATTTTGGCAGCTATGGCAGTGTGTGTGTTAAACACATTTGCAGCAGCAAAGAAAGCTAAAGTGAAATGAGATCAGGTGATGATGGTTTTATAATCATCATGAAATAGACTCAATCACTGAGGTAGGGCTGGGCGATATATTACACGAAATTGTTATGCGCATCTCTTCAGCAAAGCTGGTTCCTTGATTAGTAGTAAATCGCCTTCACCTGCTTTCAGATGGAAGATATGATGCAGATATGTGTTAAAGTTAATGAGATAATTAAGTGATTAATTTAGTGATTGAGCATTATTGAAGACACCTGATGTTATCAAGCAGAATCACTGAAGGAGAAAATCACAAATTGTAAGCCACCGTTATGGCGATCAGTGTTTGCTTTAGTTGGACTCTTGACCCTTATACTTTCACTTTAATTTTGATTTGTCTGCTGTTATTGATTTATAACAGTCAAATGAACAAAGAAACGTGTGATCTGGTAGTGGTGGTTTTGTTTTGGCATAATCATGCTGTGATCTGAAAAATTAAACTTATTGAGATAGTTCCGTTTAACTCATTAGCAACAGCTTTGTGATCGTACAGCATATGATTATCGGTATTTTTCTTATAATCCAAAATATTTAATAAACATTGTTCTGATCAAAACCCTTTTAAATGAATTTAGAAACACAGACATCAATAATCAGCCTATGAATCTCAACAATGGTGAAAATAATAATGCATGTTGCAGTGGCTGCCACCAATCACAACTCATTAATGGCTCCCATCATGCATTGCGGTATGAATAAATTATGATCTGAATTGTCTATGTAATTTACTTTTCCTAATTGAATATTCTGCTCGTCACCATTGTTGAGATGCATTGACTGAATCTTGACGTCTGTGTGTGCCTAAAAGAAAGATCACTTTATTTCTTTGAACATCTGGCAGTTATAACTCAGATATAACAGCCAAACAAAATCTAAAGTTATTAATCTAAGGGTCAAGAGCCCAACTAAAGCAAACAATGATCGCCATAACGGTGGCTTACAATTTTAGAATTTCTCCTTTAGATGCTCAATCATCACTCAATTAATAACTTAATTATCTCATTAACTTTAACACTCTTGAGTGTGGACTCATATACACTCCCAGGAGTGTTAATTTAACACTGGAGTTTTTGCTGTGTACAAAGAGCCGTAGTTAACTGACAAGCTGAGTCATATGGCATTAAATATCGCTGGCGATACGTCCGCGATATTAATGCGATATGGCTCAGCTTGTCAGTTAACTACGGCTCTTTGTAGTAAATTCCGCTCCATCTGAAAGCAGGTGAAGGCGATTTACTACTAATCAAGGAACCGGCTTTACTGACGAGATGCGCATAACAATATCGTGCGATATATCGCCCAGCCCTATGTGTATGTCAATGTAGGCCAGGTTTTTTTTTTTCATGTTTGTTAAAAGACTTATTTGACGAAGATGAAAAGATCCTCATGCTGTAGATGTGAATATATTAATGGAACAATATAACTGTTGGATTATCAAAACCTCAATGAATCAGTCTATTTCATGATGAGCATAAATTCATCAACAGGAAACCATCATCACCTGATCTCATTACACTTTAGCTTTCTTTGCTGCTGCAAATGTGTTTGACACACACACTATCACAGGAACCAAAAACAAAACAAAATATATATTAAGAGTTGAGAGCCCAACTAAGGGAAACACTAATCACTGTTATGGTGACTTCAAATTAAACAGTTATACCTCTGTTAATTCTCAATAAAACTTCTGTAGACGTCTGACAGAAATAAAGTCAGTCTGGTTAGTAATAAGTGAAGCTGGTAATGCTGTTTGTGGAGTTGTTTAATCCTCCTCTGCTGAGATCCTCACAGATTTAATGTCTTCTTTTATCTTCAGTGGATTTCATCTAAGACTCTTTGCTCTTGGCTGACATGTGGCCAGAGGTATAAAGTCCAAGTTCAGAAAGTAAAAGTCCTCCTCAGTATTTTGTTCCAATCACCTGGATTTGCTAATTCAGACAGGACACTCACTAATTAGTGAAATCAGCTGACTGAGTTCATGGGTGGAATAAACTTATGGCAGGACTTTTACTCTTTGGCCCATGGATTACCCACCTCTGGTCACCGTTGTAACAACATTCTACAGCTGGAAAACAAGTCTTCATAATACAAATTATTTCTCTAGTCTACAGAATGAGATTTACAGTGACATCATGTATTTGCAAAAAAACAATGTTTATGAATAACATCTCACACAACAATGAAAATGTAGAACATGTTTTACAGTAAAAATGTCAATGAACAAAAACAGAAGAAGAAGAAATATCATATATTCAACAATGGATCCACTTTTCAGCTTATTAGCCAACAACCTTTGTAATAGTAGTCAACATTATTATAGTAACAGTGAAATTACAGTTTTGGTGCCACTGCAAAAATTAGTCTCTAGAAAGTGTTCCAACATTTTTTTTGAGACAAATCAGCAAACGCAACAATAAAATAGTTATTTATGATACAGCAAAACAACAATGAATTATTAAAATAATACTGCTTAATGATAATGAAATAATTCATAATAACAACAGGTAGCAGGAATTTATACAAGTCCTAACTTACGCACATGTCAGATTTTTCCTTCATTACATTCACTTGGGGCACAAACGACCTTCAGTGCATTTAGACCCCAGCTGGGAGAGCTCTTCACACAACTGGAAGAAACGAGCAGCTGCTTGTCAAGCGTGCAGATATAGCGAATTGAGCTCTCGTTTTTTCACCAGTTTGACTCATAAAGTAGCCATGCATTAGAAGGTAAAATATGCCACTCATTTCCACCTTCAGCGATGACTGGCATTTTTTAGTGTTCAGTTATAAAAATTTAAATCGTGTGCACAAAACAATGTAGTCAACATAATGGTTATTTTTTCCATAAAAATGGATTATTTCATAAAGTCACATCTTTGCATTGCCAAGACACTAATTCTGACTCGACTTTGCATGGAAACAATAAATACTGCAGAAACATACTGCAGTATCAATCAATACGCTGATTTCACACTGCCGCCATTTTGAAATCGAAAGCGAGGCTCCGGTGGGAAAAAAACCCCGGAAGTACAGATAGACAACAATGCTTGGACTACCAACCTGAAGCTGCTGCCGCGATTTACCCTATTGGATGTTAATATCCAATATAGGGTATGTATATAGTTCGTTCCTGCTTATTTTTTTTCCGTATAATAGTATCAGCAAATGTATAAATACTGTCTGAAAAGATAAATGCCCAGTCATAACCTTGATAAGGCAGATATGAAAGAAATGTT